TGTTGGCTGGGGGATTCTGGGAGTTGCAATCCAGAAAGGGAACTTTTTCCAAGTTCTGACTATTCTATTGTAGCCTCTTCCCCCCTGCTCCTGTATAGGAAAGAAAACAAAGATGAATTCCTAATTAAAGATAGGATAGCAGATGTTTTAATAAGCATATTATTTGTCTCTCTCTGGTTTTATATATATATATATATATATAATTTTTTTAAAAAAGACTTAGAAACAAATCAAGCAATCTGTTAGAAGCCACGCCAAGCTGCACAAACAGTGATGAAATGCACCCGTTCGAAACACATTTTCAAAGTCTGCACATATATTTGTTCGGTTTTGTTGCTTTCTCTTGTTTATGTTGGTCGTTTTGTGGGCTGTGAAATGGGAAAGCGGGAAGGCTTCTCATAAGCAGACTTACCAAAGCAAGAGATGTAAAATCTCTCTCTTCTTTTTATTATTTTAGCAACAAGGTTTCCATCGGTTGCGCTATCTGCAGCTTGGATGCTACAGCCCATTAAATAGTAAGAAGCTGTGCAAATGGAGTCAGCAAAGCAGATGCTTCAGATCACCAAGGAAAGGTTCCCTTAAGTAGACATATAGGCATAATAGTTTGGAAACACTGCGACAGCCATGGCTCCTTTCTATGGGATCCTGGGATTTATAGTATGGGGAGGGACTCAGTAAGATCATGAGATGGAGGTCCAGCCAAAAATTGGCATATCTGGAGGCTTTGTGGGTCTCAGGCCACGTATGTCCCATGGGCCACCCTTTCCCCATCCTTAACTGACAATTTTTAAGTGCTGTAGCTCCAGCCTATGGGATCCTGGGATCTCTAGTTTTACAAGGTCTTTAGCCTTCTCTGCCAAAGCCTACCAGTGCCTCCCCAAACTACAAATCCCCAGGATTCTGCAGGATAGAGCCAGGGCAGTTAAAGTGGTGCCAAATGGCATTATTTCTACAGCGTAGATGCACCCATCGTCTTTGTCTGGAAGCCCCGTCTCAATGCCATCACCTCCACCATCCAAATGTAATATTTAACCCTCTTTGAATACAAAATACTCAATCAGTCGTATCTGATTTTTGGACCCTTCTGTTCCCTGTAGGCGAAAGGATGACCAGCCTGAAGTGAGAGAGACAGTGCCACCAACCACCAGTTTGTGATGACTCAGTTTCCTGTTCAGAGAAGACAACCTCAACTTGGGACAGAGTCATCATGGAATTCTACAATCCCAAAGTTGGAAGAGACCCTCAGCGGTCATCCAATCCAGCCCCCTCCTGCCATGCAGGAATACCCCATCAAAGCACTCCTGGCAGATGGCCATTGAGCCTTTGTTTAAAAGCCTCCAAAGAAGGATGCTCCACCACCCTCCAAGGCAGCATCTTCCACTATCAAACAAGATGTTCTTCCTAAGGCTTAGGTTGCACATAAGCAGCAAAATGGCAGGCTAAGAATCCTCTGCAGAGGGCTAGATCAGCCCATTGCTTTAAGGCATCCAGAATGGGATCCGGTGGGTTCAAGCTACTGATGGGGGACCTTCCGTGAAATTTGGAAGGCCCATCCTTTGAGCAAGTGACCATTTTAACCCAAGCCCTGCTGCCTTGTGGCTATCTAAGAGCAATGGACATCTCTGGGGGAGATCAAATAAACAGCAAATAGCAAACAACCCTGTTTGCATGTGATGCTAAGCATGATGCAAGGTGCAACATATATATATATATATATATATATATATATATATATATATATATATATATATATATATATATATATATATATATATATATATATGGTGCAATGTACCAATGAGATCCTTTACATAACTACTTCCTTGCCCTCCTTCCTCCACACCTGGAAGGAGAACATCAGCAGCATGAAGTTCCATCTTCACCAGCATTTTCAATGTTGTCATATCAAAATCCAAAAGTTTGGTTCCTAACAAGCTGGTGTGTTTCGAAACAGCCATGCTTCCAAACCATAGGCCTGAAAGCTGGCTTGTTAAACAAATCCCAGTTTGTTGCAAACCATGATTTCTGATTCATACATAACACTAAGCCAGGATTGCTGCTTCTCTCTTCCCTTTTTTGTAATAATCAGGATGCTGAAGATCTATGCAAGATGCAAAAGTTCATTTAAATAGATACTAGTCTTGGTGACCAAATTCTGCTTTTGGGTTTCACTCCAAGAAAAAGTCCACAGAGTTGTTGTTCACAAACTCACAGGTTTGCTGTTCCTCTCTCACCACACACATTCCCAATGGATCTATGCCAGACCTCTCTGACATGGCATCCTTCAGATGTGTTGGACTGCAATTCCCATCATCCCCCTGCCAATAAAGCCCCAAGTGCTCGGGAAGATCTAAAACAAGACCATCATAGTTACAATCTTCTAGAGACGCTGTGGTCTCCCGTCTTGAAGATGCCAACATTTTCTGACGTCTTTCCTTAAGCTTGTCCCACATTTTGAGTTTCCTTTGGAATAAAGGTGTCCCTTATGTAAATCGACAAAATCAAGATTTGGTTTTTGGAACACATATATTTTTTAAAATAATTTCAAGCCACATTTGGTGGAGTGGAAACCAGGGACAGACATATATATGCTCTTGGTATGTGAGAATGTCAATTCAAATTCAAAATCCTCCCCCAAATGCATCTGAGGAAGTAGACTGAAGTCTACGAAAGCTCATGAGACCAACTTCTTTCTTTCAAGGATATAGCCATGTTATGTCTGTAGAATCGGTAAATGGAGAGATCTTGTAGCACTTTTGAGGCTCACTGAAAAAAAGGAATTGGCAACATGAGCTTCATAGACTTCCGTATACTTCCTCAGATGCATTTGGTGGAGTGCAAACCAGGGACAGACATATATATGGCCTCGGTATGTGAGAATGTCAATTCAAATTCAAAATCCTCCTTCAATGCATCTGAGGAAGTAGACTGAAGTCTACGAAAGCTCATGAGACCAACTTCTTTCTTTCAGTGAGTCTCAAAGGATGCTCCAAGATCTCCCTACATAGTGATCCTACAGACTAACATGGCTATATATATTTTGAATCATCATCATCATCATCGTCATCATCATCATAGGAAGTAGAGTGAAGTCTACAAAAGTTCCTTATTCTGCCAACTCCTTCCTTTCAGTCAGTCTCAAAGGATGCTATAAGATCTCCCTATATTCTGATCCTATGACTGATATGCCTATATCTTTGAATCATCATCATCACCATCACCATCTGAGGAAGTAGGCTTAAAGTCTGGGAAAGCTCCTGCTGCCCACTCCTTCCTTTCAGCGAGTCTCAAAGGATGCTCCAAGATCTCCTTATATTCTGATCCTACAGCCTGTATCTTTGAGTCATCATCCCCATCATCCCCATCATCATCAGAGGAAGTAGACTTGAGTCTACTAGGAAAGCTCCTGCTG